TTAATTGTTTATTTATCGAAAAAGGCTTTCGCCCCGCTTTATATATAAATCAAACCACCAGAGCAACAAGGTTCGGCAAATGCTCACACCGCACACACACACACAAGTAGCAGACACACAGAGTATCCAGGGTCTCGCTGAGGGCACAACTAACAAGCCCTAAAACAACGACGAAAAGACAAGAGCAGCGGCAGCACATGTATCCTATAATTGTTTATTTAGGGGTACATTTATCCTGTAATAATTATTTTTATCTATAATCACACATATGTTGTACTAATTCCTTATTTTTTGATGAAATGATCTTTTCGGTGTTTGTATCTTATGACTAGCCAAGAAATCTACCAGAGGGTTGATCAGTTAGTTCTCATAGTGCAGATAAAAAAAACGCCAATATCTGTACCTTATGACTAGGCGAGAAATGTACCAGAGGATTGATCACTTAATTATATTTATTGTCATTCTGAAGTGATTAAGTTTGATCATCACACGGTCTATAAATTAGTACAAGTTCATTTTACTTAGCTATAAGAGATGTCTCTACTATCTAGATATCAGGGCTCTTAATTAACTTACTGTGCTAGTAACAAATATATTATGTAGATCAAATGTGTATAGCAGATAAATATCAGCTCTGAGGTTTATTTGCATTTTATGCAAATATTAAATCTTCTAAGAAATTACAAGAACCTAAAACTATTTGTATATGGAGTCAATCCATAAGGCAATAACATCAATCTACCTCCTTTTTTCATATGGCATGAATAAGGTAGGAGCATTACGTATATAAATTTAGAATTTTCTGTGTACCTAGATTAATTGGTGCCAAAGGTTGTCCCATTGGTTGGCATGCTTGATTTCCTCCTGAAAACGACCGTTGAGAAAAGAGAGTAGATTTAACATTGGCTATACATCCTACTCAGCAGCGTTTCAAGGGCAAAAGTTTTCATCCAATTCAAAAGCTTTCCCTGCTAGTATATATGCCTTGTTTATCAACTATTTGTGCAATTGGCTGATGCTAACTTTGGCATTGCTAGGGTATGGACATGCCTTTTCAGAAACTGTAGCACATTTTTACACAAGGTTTTATGTTGTGATGGTCTTCTGTCTAACAATGGCTCTCTATTTTCAACTTTCCTGACTGATCCTTCTTTGTACCGCTGAACAGAGCTAACTAAAAGCTCCTCCATGCCATAGGTTGCTTGAGTACACATATGACAATATGAAATCGTTAACTAGGGCAGCAGATCGATGTACTTCGGATAACACATGGCACACAATACCAGTTCATGAAAGAGGTACTCCCTTTGCCCGGAATTAACTGTCGTTGAAATGTGCAGATACACTCATTTCAACGACAGTTAATACCGGACGGTGGCTGTATTTGGTAAACTGGAGGAAGCAAGGGCTGAAGTATCGTTTTATGTCGTCGTCTGTCTGGAGACGAGCAAATTTCATGAGAAGATGCAACTCACCGCGATGGCATACAGGGATCGTCAATCTCAGGACAGCGGCATAGGGCACCAAGGATAGCCCATTAGCACCCTGCAAACGATGCCTGAAGATAATACTATATAGGAAACCGTGGTCACGATGAGGTTGAAATCCGAGATTTCGTCGAGGGAGGGCAATGGGGACAGGGGTGGTTAAACTGACCGCATAAACACGCTCTACAAACAGCATGCCTCTGTCTGATTTAACATGGGTAAGGTGTTGAGTTTAATGATGTAACATTATTAGTGCTGTGGTTTCTCCTTTGGGCACTTCTCCTATCCAGTGGCTTGACTTTTTGTCTGCAACTGAATCTGCCCCATGGAGATTGCCTCATCAATCATCTTGCTAAAACAAGGTAATATGGGGGGTAAAATCTCTAGGAGTTGCAACCCAAACGCATTTACCGAGCTTCAACAGCGAAGAAGAATAGGAGTTTAGGACCAAACACACACACACACATATATATATATACCCATTTCGTCGTCGACACATCTGAGTTCTGTCAGTTCAAATGTGCTATCAGCTGTATAGACTAAGCTCAAACATCAATATCTACACCCGTCCTGTATCACGAGAAAAAGAACATTCTGGATAGTTGACACCTGATTCTCGTAGACACTAGCATTTAGCTACTGTTATTATTACAACGGAACTCGGTATAATGGGTCGACCATCTTGAGCACGAACAAGTTCCCCTTGTCGCCTCTCGAAACCCTGCAAATCCAGCGAGGAGATTTCAAGCAGCATCAGTACACCACAACATACATTTTATTCCCCCAAAAAACAAACACTGCATACAGACACCCATCAGGATTTCAGGAGGGCAATTATTTCACAAAACTATTCTACTTTGAGCACTGGAAGGGTACAAATTACATGGACAAAATGAGGTGTAGCAGTGACATTTCAATGTCTATTTTAAGGGTATGCATTTCCAATGCTGAAACATTTATGTATGCGCCATGGTCAGATTTGCAGATAACTGATTTATTTAGTTTTAATTATCTTTTAGGGGGTGGAATTTGATTTTAAAATAGTCCAGTATCGTAACGATGGAGAATAGTGTGGGGGAATGAATCCATTTTAGGGCACAGCCGCGGGTACTCCACATAAGAAGCCATTGGGAGGGGCAGACAAGCTGACCTGAGCTCTTCATCAAGATATGTGATCTCTAGTTCACCTTTGCCACTTCCAGGTGCTTTGATTTGGATCTAATCACGAAACAACATTAAAATTTATGGTATGGTAAAAGTTATTAGCACATGTTAAGTGGACTACTGAGTATCAACTATTTAGTGTAAAAGCAGAGTATTGACTACAGTAGGAGATAAAATGTCTCACCAGGCTAAATATTTTGAAGTAATCAAACCTAACTGCCACTCTTCTAGAGTTGAGAGGCACCAAATTGGCAGTAACCTGCAGAATCAAATATTATTACATCACCACGCTACACACACAGAACAGAAGCAGCACTTGCAAGCTGTAACCACTATTATTGTTAAAAACGCTAAAATTTTACCAACGACATCATGCATGCTATTTAATTTTCTGATTTCGTAATGCGCCTCCAAAATTTATATAAACCGAACTAGCGGTGTGATAAAGTTACATTGAATGTGCCTACCGACACCGTGCTATATGAGTTATGCGCAAGCTCAAGTCGTCGACAGATAACAAGGTTGCAAGGAGGAAATGGACATCTTGTGTTCTAAATCAGGTAAGGCTTCACCGGATGTCCAAAGAGAAGTAAAGCCTTCACCGGCGCAATCAATCAATCTTTCAACTAACGCACCCCCTTATCCCAACCTTTGGGAGGT